GAGCAACCTCTTCGGGCATACTCGTGGAAGGAACCCGCCATGCGACAGATGATGAAGCTTTGTGGGTCAACTAAGATTAGGTGCGATGGTTGTCGTTTTGGTATGAAGTCTGAGAGCTGCGGTTTGCCTATCCAGAAACCGTGGGGTTGGTTTAGTAGCATGCCTGAGGTTGTTCAAGCCCTTCAGAAAACCTGTGATCATGGAGACCAGAAGCATGCTACACTCACGGGTTCCGAGGTTGCCGCGACCGCGACATATCCACCCTTGTTATGCAAAGCTTTTGCTAAGGCGTTGATGAAGAACCAGGTGTATGTGTCAACCGCCCGGAACGCCGTGGCTTCAGAAGCAAGTCACGACGCAGATGCCAAGGCCGATGATGATGAGGATGATGCCCCAGTTGTGGTTGAACAAGAACATCCAAGCAACCAACCTTCATCCTCCCAGGAGAACTCTGAACAGCCTGAAGACCCGAATCCTTGGGATCCCCAGAAGATCAAACAAAAGCTCAAAACCATCCACGCGAACCTAGGCCATCCCTCAAACCAAGCACTTGTTAAGGTGTTGAAAGAAGCCGGGGCATCACAGGAGGTCCTTCGGATGGCATCGGAGTTTGAGTGCATTCAATGCGCTCAAAGAGGACATGCCAAACCCCATCGAACCTCACAGATTCCTGTAGCAAACCGAAAGTGGCAAGTTGTGAGTGTTGACACGTTTTGGTGGCATTCTCCTCATAAGGATGAGTCCGGAAACCCAAAGGAGCATGTTGTTGGGTTGTCGTTCATGGACGAAGCTAGTGACTTTCATGTTGCCTCCATTGTCCGTAGTGGAAAACACACCCAACGTGTCATCAGCTCCCAGGAGTTCAGACAAACCTTCTGCCAGGATTGGTTACGAAACCTCCCTAAGCCAGAAAACCTACGTTTCGATGATGAAGGTGCCTTTCGAGATGCCCGAACGATAGAGTGGCTTGAGAGTCAAGTCATCAAAGTGAATGTCATCGCAGGAGAAGCAGCTTGGCAGGTAGGTAAACATTCACGTCATCTGGAAGTCTTGAAGGAAAACATGTCTCTCTTGGCTCTTGAGGTAGGTCCTGAGGTGAGTGCGTCAGAGATTCTGGGAATGAGCCTTGCTGCCAAGAATGAGCTTCATAATGTCGCGGGGTACAGTCCTAATCAGTGGTGTTTTGGTCAGGGTAAGGATAGGATTCAGTCGTACCTTCAGCATGGCATGCATCTTCCAACCCAGAGTCTTCGAGAACAGGAGTCTTTTGAGGAGACATTGCAGCGAGCCGATCTGGCTCGCCGGACGTTCTTGAAAGCTGATAGTCGTAGACGCGTGCTACGTGCTGCCCGCGGCAAGGCCAGGAAGGCTGAGGTGTTCAGCACGGGGCAGTTGGTTTATTTCTACCGGAAGGGTCGTAACACCAGTCGGCTTGAAGCAGGTTGGCACGGACCAGCACGGGTAGTTGCCGTTGAGAAGCAAGGCGACG